GGAAAACACCAAATTATATTTTCTTTTACAATTTTGGGAGAATAGGAGTAGGACTTTGAAGGCATTACCTAGCTTTCTATATTCTGAAGTGAACTCAAAACAATGTCTAAAAAATACTGCCTCTGCTGATGGATATTTTCTTGGATCACTGGGATCAGCTGGCGTCCCATCCAAGCACATGCCTTTGCTATTTTCCTCAGTTGTCAGAAAAGGATGCTGATGTTATTATGAGCTTGATCTTGTGTCTTAGGAATCTTGTACTTAGCCAGCAACAGCACCTCCCCAGGTATTTTTCCAGGAAGTTTAATCTCATCATCACATAATATTTAGTGCAAGTGAAGTTGAGAGAAGTAACAATTAGGATGATTGCTTGAAGGACATGCAGCTCATTTATTTATCCAAAAATCCTAAAATACATTCCTGAATTTAATCAGATCAGAGAGAATGAGGACAGAGATACTATTATTGGTCCTTCTGAATTGTGTTTTGGAATGAAATCCCTAGGGTTGTTACAAAACACAATTCTAAAAAACTCACCTTTATGTTCTTTGTATCGAACAATGACTTCTTTATGAGACTTTCTTAGAGAAATTAATTTCTGAGTCAAGAACTAGTAATAATTTTACTTTTCCTGAGGAGTTGACGTTTTATTACCTAGGAGACTTTGTAAAATTAAAGGCAATAGATTGTCATTCTCTTTTCCCATAGAATTGTGGTCCACATTGAGTAGGTGTGCAGGCCATCATGTTTTATATTTTTTATTATCATTCTTGACTCTGATCAACATCTTCTCTTCCACTTTATTTTTACACTTTAAACTATTATTTTGTTTGTTAAACATTCTTGAGTAGTTGTTTTGAAGATGATCTTGGATGTAAACACTATTGGAGGTATAAAACTATGTATTTCTCTTTTGCACTTGATGGTTTATTTTTCTGGATATGGAATTCTTAGTTCAAAACCATTTCTCTTTAAAATTGAAAAGCATCACTCCAATGTCTTCTAGTATCTTTGCTGTTGGTGAGAAATTTCATGTTGGTCTGATTCTTGTGTCCTTGGTGCTAGACAATTTTTTTTTTCTGAAAGTTTTTAGGGTTTTCCCCCTTGTCCTTGGTGCTTAAAGTTTCATGAGCATTTGTGAGTCCATTTTCATTCATCCTGGGTCTTGATGGCCCTTTTACTTTGTGAAAGTGTAGATAATGGTTCTTCTGTTTATTTGATTATTTCCTCCTATGCTTTACTCCCTTATGCTTTCTTTTCACATTTTCCTTTTCTTTCTGATTTTGATATACATCGTAAGAGATTTCTTCAATCTAAGTTGTCCATTAGGTATTTTTTCCAGGAATGCGTTCTTGTTCTCTATTTTCTTTCTTCATATTAGTATGTTTTTGTTTCATGGATAATGTGTCTTCTTATATATCTTCAAGGTACTAATTTGAATTAAAAAGAAAAATCAGTCCCTTCCCCCTACCTGTCTTTAGCTTTATCTCTTCCCTTTGGATCTTTTTTGTGCTGTTGGTTTCTCTAAGGTATCTGGTGATTTATGTTTACTGGTTTATATTTACATGCGAAGGACTATATAGGTAGTATAGTTGCAAAGATCTTTTCCCCTGCCAGACCTCTCTTTTAAGCAGGAGGTACTGGTGAGAGGCCAGCTGGCAGAGAGGCTTTTCAGGGGGATACGCAGGAAGTCTGGAGAATTCTACAACTTCTTAGTAAGGTTAAGTTTACCATATCTGTGGTGGAGGATCAGAGCTGCTTTCTTTTAGCACCTACTCTGTTTCTTCCTCTGGCATGTTGCTTATAGTCTTTAGTAGGCAAAAGAGGGGTGAATGAGGACCTAGATGGCTCCATTATTATTTAATTACTCTGGTGATGTTCCATAAGTAAGGTGATAATATAATTTATCATCTAAACCGAGATACTTTTGAGAGTGAAAGGGGACCCTATTAATTATTTTGCCAGGTAATGCATGTAAACAGAGACTGGCATTCTGTCTATAACACACTTTTAACCTTTGTACTTCTGACTCTGAATTTGAGGCTGCTTTGGGCCTCCATGGGAGGACCACTCTTTTGATTCTGTTTGCTGGAGTTGTCTTTTTTTTTTTTTGGCAGTACTGGAGTTTAAACTAAAAGCCTTGTGCTTGCTAGGCAGGTGCTCTGCTACTTGATGGTTGGAGTTATTCTTATTTTTCTCTTTTCTTTTTCAGCCATAATGATCCTATCTGTTTTGTAGTTTGTTTTCTAAGGTTTCTTCAAACTTTAGGAACCTCTTCCAGGCATGCTTTTGTTTTTTTGCACCATTATGTTTTTATTCTTAAACATAATTTTTCTGTAATATCAGTGATACCTGAGAAGGAAGGCAGGTAAAAAGCATACTCAGTTTGCCATCTTAAATTGGAAGCTCTTTTACCCCTTTTACTCTACTTTAAACATACTAACTTACTATATTTTGTATATCATTGTATATTACTTTACACCTTTTTGGAGCCAGAGTGGCTCCAAAATTACTGGTAGGTCATAAACCTCTTGGTGATGAGTTTCTTTTCATTACTCAAATTACATCTGGAAGGATCCTGTGATGCTTATAAAATATATGATCTTAAGTCATTGAACTCCTAAGCCATTCTCAGTGGGAATTGCTAGGGGGGGATTTGTTTCTAACTTCTTTTAGTAAGTGACTTATTGTCAAGAGGCATTTATATCCTGTTTACACTGTGGTAGCATATGGAAGAAAGTTAGATCCTGCAAAGATGATTCAAGCCTAGCATAGTCAGGTTAAGGTATAAAATTGTAGGGATTTAGAATGAAAGCCCTAATTAATTAATTAATTAATTTTGCAGAATTTAATGAAGGGACACAAAATCTGCCAGAATTAATCTGTGAAAGCTCAGTTCAAAAAGATAATAACTACCGTAAATACAGAAGCAAAGACTACGGCTTAATCATAGGATTTAGAAGCACAAAGATGACTTCCTGGATCTGACTAGGTCTTATGGGACCTAAGCAATTGGATGCTCAGAAGAGGTTCAAACTGACCTACCACAGGAATAACTGGATCACTTTGGGAGAGGGCTTGTCCCAATCCTTGTTGAGTGTGGTTATGTAGAAGCTTTTGCTCAGCGTTTTGCTCTTGGGTATGCCTCATACAAATGTGAAATTTAAAAATGACCATCATTTGGACACACATGACCTAAGCTAAGGTCAATTAACATTCAAATTAGCATATGTGATATTTGATTTAGAGCCAAAGTTAACCTATAAATTATATGCGATATGGCAGTGGCTGGGTTAACTCTTACCATTCAGAAAGAGCCTCTCACTCCACCCTCCCAGTAATAGTCATTGTTTTCTGTCAGCAGTTTTACTACTCCTGGGTTGAGGTAGGGATATAGAAAGAAATTACCCCAAATTTTAAGCTTTAAATCACTTTCCCCAACAAAATACCATTTTGGGCTTTGATAGTCAGGATTTGAAGCATTTTTTTCCTTCAGGTGGTCAGGATGATTGAGAGCTTGTTTCTTGGTGGATTCTGGATTTTAGAAGTATGCACGATGGGGGCAAGCCTACTCAGGTATTGTCAGCTGTTGACACGAGTCCAATGTTGCTCTTAGCAGAAATTAGCAAGTGAGACTGAAAAATAGGAGCTGACATTATTAAACAGGCAAGAAAGAAAGCTTGTGGTGGATGCCAAACAGACGAAGCACCTTACAAGTGGTAGAAAATCCAACTGTTACCAAAAAGACAGGGTGTCATTGGTCAGGAGGAATCCTCAGAGGTGACCTTCAGACTTGGCAGTTGAACCATAGGAGCAACAGAGATATCTAGATTCCTCCTGGGCTTTTTGGGAAAAAAATGTCTTACAATTCATGGCATCTGGCATATGGGGAAGGGGAAGGAAGTGCTAAAATATAAGTATGTTTTTCTTCCTTCGTTCCCTCTTCATCTCCCTCATCTTTCCCATTTCCTTTCTACCTCTAGCTATTCTCTTCTCTGTCCTCTTGCTCTTCTCTCCCCATCCCTAACATGTGCCTTTAAGTTACTTTTCACTCTCTTAGTCTACTTTATCTCTGTGGTTGTAATCTACCTTCTCTAAACTTAGACTCTTACCTGACTCTTACCCTTTTTACCACCTGTCACTTACTCAGAGAAGTATGGGATTAAGGAGATCCCAAGTGAGCTGGTTAAGTCCCTTACCATTGCAAGTCCAACATTTACATCTGGTGATTATTTGCTGGTTCTCTTCTAATAGCTTTCAATATTTTATCGTAAACCTTTAATCAACTATGGTAGTAACACCCTGGTAAAAATGGAGCAAGAGCTTGCTACTCTTACTACAAAATATGTACTGCTGGTAACTACTGTCTTGTCTTGCCTTTTGCTAATTTTTATTTCTGTATTGTCATAATCTTTGGGCTTGATGTCCTTATTTTGTTATATGTACTGTCATTTGCATTTGATTTCAGAAGAGATTTTATTATTTGACTACTTCTGGTCAAATGTAGATCTCAGTCAATCATATGACATTTCTCCTATACATAGGTTGTTTACCTTTGGCTTTGTGACTATAAGATCAGTGACTTAATTGCCTATTTCTGTGTGCTTTTATTTGGCAGTGTTATATTTTGTAAAAAATTCTTCTGGGAAAAAATTCTTCTAAGGGTGCATTTGGCTTTCATTTCTTAATGCCACTACCTGGCATTAAGAGAATGGGTCTTTGTGGACCTGAAGGTACATAGCAATTGGAGACATATAATGCTTTGCTTTATGGATGGCATTAGAAAGACAATGAAAAATATTTCACCTTTCCATTTTGGGGCTTTTGAACACAGGTTCTAACACTTAGGCTGGAGAAAGTCAATGTCCTTCCATTTCAAAGGAAAAAACTCTTGCAATCTCTACAACAAACAAAGTAACCTAAGTGATGTTATTTTAATGAGTTATGTATTTCTGTGGGTCTAAAATGTAATTTCATACCTAATTTCTCTTCTTCTTTAGAAGTGCAACGGGTGGTGAAAGCCAATGACCGTGACTATAATGAAAAGTTCCAGTACGCAGTGAGTAAAACACACACAGCACATTTATGTTGGGGTGGGTCTTACCTTAAGGATTATAAGTGGGATTCATACCTTCTACAATCTGGTGACCTCACTAAAATCTTTTTTCAGTGGCCCATTTTGATAGCAAGGTGCCTGCCATATGTTTCCATAAATACAGATCTTAATAACATGCACACATATTTTGTCTTGTGCTCTAAGAGTGGTGGGTATGTTGATTGACATAGGAAGATGATAAAATATCTTATTTGTTATGCTTAGTTCATTTTGGTGCTCACTTGAGTAATAGGGTTTTCAGGAAAACATGAAAATGGGTCTTTTAGATAGTATTTGGTGAAGGGAGTGGTAGTTGTAGCTGATGACTGGTGAATGTCATTTTCTAAGCATTTCAGGCTGAACGTGGAGAAGCATATGGAGGAGAAAGTTCCAGGTCTTGAATGATTATATTTACAAAGTCAGTGGTGAGAATGATAGTTTCAACATTCATATAGCCACTTGCCGGAGGAGAGAGAGTTTTGGCCAATGAAATTTTTAGTATTTGGTTTCTATTGGCAGGTCTTTTTCAGTATTTACAGATTGGATGCATTGGGCGATGTAGCTTGATTCTATTAAATATTTATTCAGTAGCGGCACATATCAATCCTCTTTTCTCATGCTATGCTGTTCATAGAAAATTGTGATTATAATTTGATTTTCAATGTAGATTTCCTGCAGAGAGCCAGTATGCTATCTCTATGACAGATTTCTCATTGCAAAACAGCATATTGAAACTCTGATTTTATTCATCAATTTTGTAAGTGTGGTTAGAGTAAGTCTGCCCTGAGAGAAGAAATCCCTCTCAGGAGGCAATGGACATGCTTCTTAGCTTGGGAGAGAGGGATTATTATTCCCAACGTGAGGAATGTCACTCTATGTGGTTTCCTGATGTGCAATCGTTTAGCCCTTCTGGTTGTTACCAAACTCCGTCCTGTGCCTTTCCACTCATTCTATACCAGTCCTTTAACTGTAGAGGCTGATCCTTGAAAACCTTGACTATGGAATCCACAATCAAGGAACTTCGGTATGTGTATATTTTAAGACTTTGGGGAAAAAACCCAATAATAACTAATTTACTATGGGGGTAATTTTGCATTTAAGTACTTGGCTCCTCTTACTTGTTTTCCAATATATATTAAGTATTTTCATTCTGTGAGTAGTAACTCTATAAGGAAGCCATATTTTGTTTGTGTTTTGTAAGATGACATCTTTTTTCTATTTATAGTAATTTTTGCTTAATTTAGGAGCCATTTCAAACTTGGAAACTATTTTTTAAAAATCTTCTCGATCTTATACAAACTTGTGTACTTCCTGAATAGGATCGATAATTTTCAGTTAAAAAAATCCTTTAGAAACTTCCCATCTATCTGTATACATGAGATACTTGGATAAAATTGATTAAGTACTGAGTTTACCGAGGTTTCTGAGTTTGAGGTAGGATAACTTTCTCATCACTCAAATAAGTTCATCTCCTATTCTCAAATTCTGTAAATGTTCAAGAACATTGAAGGATAGAGCATGACTGTCAGTGTGTGACAGAGAGAGAGAGAGAAGTTGAAACCAATGTTTTCCATCATTGTTTATTTTAAAATGAAGTCAGAAAACAGCCAAAGTTAATCTAACACTTTTTCTGACTTTTTTTATTGATTTATTATTCATATGTGCATACAAGGGTTGGGTCATTTCTCCCTTTCTGACATTTTTTGACATGAACATATTTTAATACAACTAGTATGCTCTTTGGACTCTTAATATGGATGAGTCTGGCTAATTGGCTCACTCTCACAATTTAACATTTTAAACATTAACATATTTTAATACAACCATTTTTACTACTTCTATTATTCATTCCTATTATTAACCAAGAAGACTTTGATTCTCTTCTAATGAGAATAATAATTCTAGCACTTGGCTCACTCTCCTTCTAGTCTCTAATCCCACTTTGTCTTACACTTCTTGGCATTCTGAAATTTCTCCTGTAATCTTATTTTTCCCACCTTTTAGTTCTCACAATATCATGTTTGATTTGCCTATTACTTTTACTTAGAATCATTAACCTTGCCTTTTGTTTATGTTCTAAAACCCTTATCTCCTCACAGTGCTTTCAATCATTTTCTAGGCCTGGCTTATGTTTCATAATGTACTTTGTAGCTTTAGAGTTTGTTGATAAATTAAGGTTCTTTATGTATTGAAATATCTTCCTTCAGCCTTCCAAGAGAAAAGTTTACTTGGCAAGGCTTAGGGTTTGTGAAAATTGCACCATTTATCTGAGTTTTGTTGAAAAAATTTCTCCTCCATTCACGTGTACACATGGTAAGGGCAAGATATGAAATCATTCCAAGTCTTGCTTTGCAAAAACTTATCTCCTTTTGTCTTTAGACTATAAAAATTTTGCTAATGGGTGTGTGAAGGGAGGGGAGGAGCCTACGGTTTAGCTGGTTGATTAGGTGGTGGGTGCTTGGTTGATTTGTGTGTGTGTGTGTTTCTGATTGCTTTCCAGAATTGGTCAAAAGAATAGAATAATAACGTGGAACAAATGGAGTTGGAATCTCACCAGTTTGAGTTAGAATTCCACCATTGCTGTCTTTTCGTTGTATAATTTAGACAGGTTATTGAGGGGCCTCATCTCTCCATCTGCCTGGGTTTTGTGGAAGATTAAAGTTATGTACAAAAGTGTCTGCCTCACAGCTGGATTATCTAGCCCCATTATCTAGCTATGTAACCTTGAGCAAGTCACTTGAGTGATATTTCCATGCCTCAGTGTTTTCAGATATTAAAGTGAGGTAATTAAAGTACTTCACTGAGTTGTAATTAAGTTGTTTAATACAGTGAAGTAGTATGAACCATGACTTTCATTTGGTAAGTACTGTGAGTATGAAACTGTCATGATTATTATCACTATCTATTATTACTATTAACTATATATCTATCAATATCTATGCTGAGATTGTAGGAAAATTTCCAGAACTTGACAAATGCTTTACAGAGTAGGTAGCCAATAAATACCTCCCTGAATTACTACTTTTTCTATAAGACTCATTTCAGAAGGGGGGCTCTATTTCCCCAGTCATTGAGACTGTTAGTTCTCTTCTTGTTTTAGGTATGTTACTTTTTCTACCATTGCATCATCAACATAATTTGTCAGCAGCTTCCACTCCTTCAGAATCACACAGTTACTCATTTTTTGACATGATATATGGTGCAAACAGTTTACAAGGTTAGCCGATTTCTCAGTATTTTCTTAACATTATTATCACCAATATCTTCCTTTATCCTGTGCTTTATAGGACATATAAAATTATTGTAGATTCTTGCCCAGAACTTTCTTAGATTTAACAGAAAATCCATGTAAAAGACTTACCACAGGGCAAGTATACAGTTTACTGGCATACAGTAAATTAAAATAAAATAATTAAAAATAATTAAAATATTTTAAAAATAATTTAAAACAATTAAAAATTAAATTTTTATTTTAAAATCGAATAAATTTTAGTGTTGTCATCAAATATTTTTATATATTACTTAATCCTTCCCTATAAGAAAATTTCCCCCATTTCATAGGTGAAATAACTGATGCTCAGAGTAATAAATAGATTGAGATAACAAGATAGCCATAAGAGAGAGAAAAGGATTCAAAAGTACTAAGCTACTTGGGAGGCAGAGATAGGGAGAATCATGATTCAAGACCAGCATGGCCAAAAATTGCAAGAAACCCCACCTCAACAAATAAAAGCCAGGTGTGGTGGTGTACGATTGTCATCTCAGCCATGTGGGAAGTAAAGAGGAGGACTGCAGTCCAGTTCTGGGCATAAAAGAAAGATCCTATCTAAAAAAAATCACCTACCCAAAAAAGGGTTTGGGGGTATGGTTCAAGTGGTAGATTGTCTGCCTAGCAAGAGTGAAGCCCTGAGTTCAACTTCCAGTACTGGGAGAGAGGGGGAGAGAGAGAAAAGTTGAGAGAGAGAGAGTGAGAAGATATTCAAATTATGGTCTATCTTATCCTAGAACACTCTCTCCACTACATCTGAGGGCCTTCACCACTTCTCCTTTCATCTTTTTTATAGCAAGCTTGGATTTATTTCTATTTCCTTTGTAGTCTTTTGGTGTGAGTGTGAGTAGTGTATTACTACGTCTATTAACATGAGCACTTGCCCTGAGATCTGTTGGGGTCTCTCCAAAGCCACTTTCATTTGGGGTGATTAACTTTAAATCTAGACAAGACTGTACAAAAGGTCCTGAGCTATTGCCTTTCTTAAAAGCATATTCCATTTAGTAGGTGATTATAACTGTATCAGCTAGTCATAGATTCAAATTCTAGTTGTACATAGACTAGCTCACAGGGTTGTTGTGTACTATTCTACCTTACTCCTTAGAATAACTCTGTTACATAGGTGCTTTTATTAGTACAGTTTGTAGCCAAGCAGACTGAGGTAAGACAGACCCCGCAGCTTCCTGCATGGTCAGCATTCTCTTGAGAGTACTTGCTCATCGCCACTGCCCCCTCCACCCCGCCCCAGCCACCATAGTGGTCATTACTGCTTTGCAGCTTCCCTTTCTCATTTTTTGTTATCATTCTTGGTTTTGTCAGATCATAATGCATTTTACTTCTTCTTTGATGTGTTTGGTCTCGGAGACTGAGCTGCCTTGTACAATCTGCTGTGGACATGTGATACTGTTCTATTGCTATTTTCTTTGGGGGACCCTTGGGTTCTCAACATGTTGGGACACATCATGTCCTGCTTTTGTCCCGAGCCTGATGGGAAACTTGGATTTCTCTTTTCCTTCTTGAGCAGTGCTGTTGCCCTGTGAACATGCAGACCCTTGTCCATAGGCCTGATAACCAGAGCAATGCATTTACAGTGAAGAGTGCAGATGATGACAAGTTGGAATTAGCCACAAAAAGTGCCAGTGACTTGTATTTGTTAGGTTTCTGGCTGTTACTTGTTGTTTTCTTTGTATTGGGG